CAGAGCCGAGCCGAGCCGAGCCGAGCCGAGCCAGGACAGCCGCGTCACTCCGCCACTGACTGACTCGGGTTAGCCCGTTAGACGAGTCCTTTAGAGCTTCGCGTTACTCGAAGACCTCAGGATCCGGCCTTCATCGAGCGACGCGACGCGCTAGAACTCTGGCCGGTCGCGTCGCGTCGCTGAAGCGATCAAACTCCGGAGAAACTCTCCGCCTGAGCGCGGCGCGTTTAGACGCGAGCTACTCACCGTTCGCGTACGAGCCTCCGGCGCCGTTCTGTGACGCGAAGCCGCCGCTGGACATCGTGAAGCCGGATCGGTCAGCGAGCGTCTCACAGGCCCGCGGCTGCGCTCATTCTGTCTCGCGCTGCCGAGCGTCGCGGGGATAAACAGCGCCTTCCTCTCAGCGGAAGTCGAGCGGAGCACGGACAGCGCGCATGCGCACTTGGTACACGTGGCATTTCCTGTGGAGCGCCGCTTTCCGCCGTACTGGAAACACGAGTCACTGCAGAGCTGCTTCCGCTTTCCGAGCGATCACCGGAGCCAGCGCTCAGGCCTTCAGGTGTGTCATCTCGTTAATTACATGATGTTTCGATTAATTAATCGCAAAATAAATTTGACTGTGAAAATACCCACAAAAGGTTATTTACACAGCTATGTTTGTGTTGAATGAGAAAGTATCAAGTAGACGTTACAAATTGTAGCTTTAGAAATATTTTATTTGATTCAACATAAAATGTATTACACATAAACATTTGGGCTACAACAGCCTGACATAAACTATGGAACATAAAAGAAGATAATTTGAGAAACATCTCAGTATTTTCTGTTCACACGATGAACGTCACTGCTAACCAACACAGCTTTGTTACCAACAGTCGTTTTTTAATTTTTTTTGGTTGAACTATCCCTTTAATGTTTTATTATTATTATTATTATTTTATTAAATGCTACTCTAAATAAGAAACTACCTCTGCCAGCAGGTGGCGGTAAATGTCTTTGAGTCATTCATTCATTTGATTCAAACGACTGATTCATTCAGGAATGAAGTAAACGACTCTCTTTATGAACGGATCTTTGAATCATTGGTTCACACGATTCGTTCTAAACGCGGATTCATCAGAAACTAAACACAGTGTTGCTCAGAGACCTGTGGCTTTAAATGTTATTATGTGCTCTGCTAAATTGAGCAAAAACACATAATATCGTGTTTAAAATATAACACAATATCAACTTCTTAATTACTGAAATGTTTAATAAAATCACATTTGCACTCTAACAGCACTGGTGTGATTCGCTCATCATATCATGATGTAGACTAAATATGAGACACAAACACATACAGAGGCATTTTCGCACCATTATCTAGAGTTTCAGGGCATAACTGCATTGATGGACTGTGGCCCTGCAGCATTGCCAGCAGTGAGTGCGTTAACTGCTTTTAATATTTTAATCGCATTATTTTTATTTAATCAAGTTAACGCGTTAAACCGACAGCCCTACCCACAACACATTCAGATGTGCTTCAGCTGCAGAGATTTCGTTATTACAAGAGTACATGTACAAAGTTAAACGCATTTAAACCATTTACGCTGAGGTCAGGACCTGAGAATTATATAGAGATGTAAAAACTACGAAAGCTGTCCTGTTTGCTTTATACAGTCTTGTATAATAATAATTGGTGTTTAGCACTGTATAATCCCTTTTGTGCTGAAGTTCTCTAAATTGTCATATTAATAAAATAAATTTTAATAATATTTCTTTGCAAAGCTTGAGAGAACATGCATGTGTGTGTGAGTGTGTGTGTGAGCGTGTGTGTGTGCACGTGAGTGAGTGTGTGAGTGTGTGTGTGCGAGTGTGAGCGTGTGTGAGCGTGTGTGCGTGTGTGTGCGTGTGTGTGTGTGTGTGTGTGTGTGAGCGTGTGAGCGTGTGAGCGTGTGTGCGTGAGCGTGTGTGCGTGTGTGCGTGTGTGTGAGTGTGTGTGTGCGAGTGTGAGCGTGTGTGCGTGTGTGTGTGTGTGAGAGAGTGTGTGTGTGCGAGCGTGTGTGAGTGAGCGTGTGAGTGTGAGCGTGTGTGTGCGAGTGTGTGTGTGCGTGTGCGTGTGTGTGCGTGTGTGTGCGTGAGTGTGCGTGTGAGTGTGTGTGTGTGTGTGTGTGTGTGTGTGTGCGTGTGAGTGAGTGTGTGCGTGTGTGCGAGTGTGTACGTGAGTGTGTGGGTCGTGTGGGGTAGGGTTAGGGTAGGGTAGGGTTAGTGGGTCTGTGCCGCGGTGTTGTTGGTCGCGTCGCTAGCTGTTAGCATCAGCAGTGACACGTACTTGCGGCACAGGCTGCGGATGATCAGAAATAAACCTCAGAACAGAGGAAACACGAGGACAGTCTGTTTGGAGACGTGTGTCAGATTCTTAGGAACGTGATGCTTGTACTCGTGCTGCTTTCACATGGTTTTGAAAACTGTTATTTTCATGGTTTTAACAAATTAATAAATCATACAGAATGAAGTTTTCTGAACATCTAAAAAAGTTTCCTGTGAGGAGTAGGTTAGTGCGTGTGAGCTTGCGTGTGAGCTTGCGCGTGTGCGTGAGCTTGCGTGTGAGTGAGCTTGTGTGAGTGAGCTTGTGTGAGTGAGCTTGTGTGAGTGAGCTTGTGTGAGTGAGTGTGCGCGTGAGTGAGTGTGCGTGTGAGCTTGCGTGTGTGTGCGTGTGCGTGCGTGAGCTTGCGTGTGAGCGTGTGCGCGTTTGTGCGTGCGTGCGTGAGTGAGTGTGAGTGAGCTTGCGTTGCGTGTGAGTGTGCGTGTGAGTGTGCGTGTGAGCTTGCGTGTGAGCGTGCGTGTGAGCGTGCGTGTGAGCGTGCGTGTGAGCTTGCGTGTGAGCTTGCGTGTGAGCTTGCGTGTGAGTGTGAGTGAGCTTGCGTGTGCGTGTGAGTGAGCTTGCGTGTTGCGCGTGAGCTTGCGTGTGCGTGAGTGAGTGTGCGCGTGAGCTTGCGTGTGCGTGAGTGAGTGTGAGTGAGCTTGCGTGTGCGTGAGCTTGCGTGTAAGTGTGTGTGTGAGCCTGCGTGAGTGAGTGTGTGTGTGTGTGAGCTTGTGTGTGAGTGAGTGTGCGCGTGAGCTTGCGTGTGAGTGCGAGTGAGCTTGCGTTTGAGTGTGCGCGTGAGCTTGCGTGTGAGTGTGTGCGTGAGCTTGCGTGTGTGTGCGTGAGTGAGTGTGAGTGAGCTTGTGTGTGCGTGAGCTTGCGTGTGCGTGAGCTTGCGTGTGCGTGAGCTTGCATGTGCGTGAGCTTGCGCGTGCGTGTGAGTGAGCTTGTGCGTGCGTGTGTGCGTGTGAGTGAGCTTGTGCGTGTGTGTGTGTGAGTGTGTGAGTGAGTGTGTGTGCGTGAGCTTGCGTGTGAGTGAGTGTGCGAGCTTGTGTGAGTGTGCGTGCGTGTGTGTGCGAGAGAGAGAGTGTGTGTGCGTGAGCTTGCGTGCGTGTGTGTGAGTGTGAGATCATGCTGACGTGTAGCTTGCGCGTGTCCTTCACCTTTAGCGCTGCTGCTCTTTACTCCAGCGGCTGCTGACAGACGAATTGCGCAACACTAGCACTCCATTCATTCATTCATTCGCATCTATAATGATGATGATCAGAAATGCTCTCAACATGAACACTGACTCACCTGAGACCCGCCTGTCGACTCTTCAGAGGCTGCAAATGATCTGGCTCAAAACATAATTTTGAATGAACTTTATACAGCTGCTGCTATCAAACGCTCAAATCCTGATAACAGCTGAAGGTTTTATCACAGAATTACTGTATGCTATTGCGTTACAAAACAGGTTGTAAGATAAGTTATAGATGTTCATTATGACAAGGTTTTCTTTAAAATAAAAAAATTACATTATAATTAGTTCATGTACAGACTGTTACATTCAGCCAAATCACTTGGATGGCTTAATCAGATCAGAAAAACCCCTTAATCGATCTGATTGATTGGAATCCGATTGGAGTGAAGACCTGAGATAAACTGATCATGTAAACACTTGAATGTGACTGCTGTGTTTACAGATTCATGGTTAATATGTTTACTTATGTTCTTCTGAACATGCGCATGTGTTTAACCCTGTTTTATGAGCTGGCCAGTAGAGAGACTGAATATTTACAACATATTTCCTAAAGAAAGCTCTTCTGGAGTACTGAAGATCTGCACATGTGATTCATTTTGTTCAGAATGCATGTAATACACGTGGGAATAATTATGTGAGATTGCAGTGTTTGTTTAAACAGAACTCTGAAATCAGATTCATTTGGCTTGGCAAAAATTAGTGCATGTAATAGTTTCTGCAGGCCTTAATTCTCCATCCACAAATTAAGGCCATAAAAAGATCTTAAATTAAAGCATAAAGTCTTAAATGTATAAATTCTTGGCATTAAATGTTGCATGCAATGCAAAAAATATATTCCTCAGTATGTTTGTTTTCAACACAAATATCTAAACCTCCTGAAATCAAGGTGCATTTACTTGAGATGCAAATGTAAGCGTGAGTCTTGAAAAACTGAACAACATTATTAGTTAATTCTTAAAACAAGAAAAATATCTGTCAAGGGGGAATGAGATTATTTTTCAGGTTTATTTTAGTTGCTTTTTCTCAGATTGACAGATATTTCTTGTTTTAAGCATAAACTCACTGAATTTTTATTATTTTCACAGAAAACAAGACTTGTGTCCTTTTGCTTCTGAAGTAAATGCATCTTGATTTTAAGAAACTTTAGACATTGAACTACAAAAGACAAAAATGTTTTTATTTAATTATGGATGAAGATCGATTTGCAGTTGTTTTCAAACTCTGAAATGTTACTAATACGACTCATTTACATCTAGAGAACGTATTGCTGTATTCTCCGTGATTGTATTTAATGATTCAGATATTTCTTTGCATATATACTCAACACTCTGCAGAACATCACATGTATGTGCGTAACAACATTGTGTGACACACGAGCGTATGAACTGCTAAAGTTTCAGCACTTTCAGTTGATTTGCTAAATACCTATTTAATACATATTCCAAACACCTGAAGTGTGTCCCGTGAAACCTCTTAATACTTCCGTTTCTTTTCAGATATTCCACGGCCTGGATATGTCCTTCATATTTGATTGGATTTATAGTGGTTTCAGTAGCGTTCTGCAGTTCCTGGGTAAGTTCACTGTAAACCTCAAACATCCTCTCCAACTTCATGTTCCGATCAAAAACTGTTAATTTCCAGATCACAACCCAGTTTACTTTGGTAACGGGAAATATTTCTGAGTGAAACTGGCTAATCAACGACAGAAACGTAGTGTGTGACTGGGTTTTATTCTTCAGGAGATGTTTGGATGAAGTGGAGGTCAGAGTTGGCATTATCTGACTGAGTTACATCAGGAGAAGAACAAGCCATTTCTGAGTAAAAACAGGGTGTTACTTCTTGATTTAAGGCTTTCTTTGGAATAACATCGGCACAGATAAAAGAGCAGGTGTAAGTGGAGATGAAGCAGATGTTGGTGTAGTTTCTGTACTGACTCATGCAGTGCATCATGGGCTGATCTTACCCTGCGTCTCTGTTCAGTCTCGTTTTTCCTGTTCGTCCAGCCCACACTGATACTGAGCTCTGAAACACTGTCAGAACATTGTACAGTCGCTTATCAGGAATATTCTGAATTCAGTCCATTCCAGTAATTCATTCATGTTGATGAGTCTGACCAATCATATCTCTCGTTTGCACTGTGGGCGTCGGCCTTCACTCGTACCATGAGCACACTGGAGTCATCTAGGAGTCTTCAGTCTGATCTCGTGTATAGTGAAGAGTTGAGCTGAAGCAGTGCTTGAAGTGGGGTATAGGATGATTAATGCACTGCTACTGTGTAATAGTTCATGATACCTATTATAATTATCTGCCACACAACAGTTTGAGTAAGTTAGACCATGATTGCATCACACCGGTGGGAATGAAGTGATTGAGCAGCAGCAAGCTGATGTTGGTAGCTTAGGCTTGTTCGGTTGTGTTTTTGTAGAGGGTTATTCTATGAAACCTGCTGTTGGACAGACTGCATTTAATCAGGTCAAATCACTCTGTTTCAGGGCTGTACAAGAAGTCTGGTAAATTAGTATTCCTCGGTCTGGACAATGCTGGTAAAACAACGCTGCTGCATATGCTCAAAGACGACAGACTGGGTCAGCATGTGCCAACCTTACACCCCAGTAAGTGTGCACTCACCACACCGCCTCGAGAGAGCTTCACTTTCACCAGTGCGTCTGTAGACTGTACGTGACGAACGACCGTGAAAATCATATGCTCTCAGTGGATACGCATGAGCAACAGACTTTAAATTCTTGTTCATGAAGACCATACTACTGCAGTTGGCTATTTTCTCATATTCGTGTAATATTCTATGGAATAAAAAGGCAGTGTAACTCTCACAGTTCTGACTAAACTTTTCATAATTCCAAGTTAAAATTTCTCAATTGAGTTATTGCTCAATTGCGTGTTTTGTTCAAGAAATGTTTTGGTAAATTTCTTTTTGTTTTCGTTAGCATTGAGTGGTCTTTGTGAGCACAACCTTCCAGATTACTGATGCATTGTTTGTTACAGTGTTTACTTCCTTTTTAGTCATGTTTTTAACAGTTCCTTTGTTGGTGAAAAAATACTATGATGAGATTACAGAATTCAGAAGTTGTCATCTGAAGTATGAAACTGTTCATTTATTATTGTTGAAGTAAAAATGACTTCAGTCGGGCAGGAATAATCTCTCGTTGGTCTGTTTCTCCTCTTAGCCTCCGAGGAGCTGACGATTGCTGGCATGACCTTCACCACGTTCGATCTGGGTGGCCACGCTCAGGGTGAGTAGACGGATCCACACCTCGCCGTCTGTCTGCATCAGATCACGTGTGTGCTCAGTGTTGTGTTTCTGCGCAGCTCGACGAGTGTGGAAGAACTACCTCCCAGCCATCAACGGCATCGTCTTCCTGGTGGACTGCGCCGATCTCACCAGACTGGCCGAGTCCAAAACAGAGCTTGACGTGAGCTTTATACTGTCTCCAGCCAGTGGACATGAGTCAACTAACCATGCTTTTGATAATCAGTTAGTCGAGGCGTGTCCAAACCTGTTCCTGGAGGGCCACTGTCCTGCAGTGTCTAGTTAAACACACCTGAACCTGCTACTCAAGGGCTCCAGACTCACTAGAAACTTCCAGGCAAGTGTGCAGGAGCTGAGCTCTGCAGGACTCCAGGAGCAGGATTGGATTAGTCTGTCAATTACTTCCATTGACTGGATGGAAAAAATGTTTTCATTTTTAATTAAAAATATATATATATTTTTTTTTTTACATTTGAATACATTTTTTACAAAGTTGTTATTCCATATCTTGCCTGATGTTGAGCTTCAAACAATGTGCAATTTGAGCAATAAAAACAAGTCTCTGTCTGAGTAGAGTTAGGGTTAGAGAATGGGAAAAGTTTATTGTAATTTTTTTTTAAATGAAGTGAACATTTTTAAAAAGGGATTCACATTTAAATAATAACAAAATGTAAAATAAGTAGTTAAAAAGTAAACTGAAAAAAAGTATACTTTGGGCTTAATGAAGACCCTCTGTCAGAGCGAGCCTTTATACAAAATGGATATTTTATTTGAAGTGTCTCGATTCCTCAAGTCTCCTGTCTCATGCTATAGTGTGTGTGTGTGTGTGTGTGTGTTGGCTGTGAATAACAGGCACTAATGACAGATGAAACCATTGGAAATGTGCCCATATTGATCCTCGGCAACAAGATCGACAAACCTGAAGCCATCAGTGAGGAGAAACTGCGCGAGATCTTTGGCCTGTACGGTCAGACGACGGGAAAGGTAAGACAGCACTCAGGGACGCTTCATGAGAACATGATTGAGATGAGAGCCTGAAAGGAACAGTCAAAACAAATTGTAGCTTGTGTCCTGATTTCTTTGTGTGTAGATGTCTGTGAAAACATGCCTCTTTCAGATCCTCTGTTGTTTCTCTGAGGCCTCTGCTGGCTGAGAACTGCTCAAAACTCACTTTCAGACAGCACCGAGTGTTTGAAATAACTTCTGTTTGAGATCTGATGTGGATTACGATCACCATACAAGCCAGAAATATTCATAAGCGATGCAAAAGACTACGCTAGCCATTACCATAGTAAATATGGTAAATACGACCACTTGAAGAAATCAGACAAATATAGGCAATCGCAGTCATTTATTTATTTAGTAACATATTTTATGTCAGTATGTCTCGTCTCTTTATACTTGACTGTCTGATGTTCGTATTTAGCTCCACGTATGCCATAAAATATATAGGATAATCATAGGTTTTGTTCGGGAGCTCCATCTGCCAGCGTTACTCGGGTTGTATTTTTGATGGGAAAAAAATGATAGAAATGATCATTCTTTCTAAATGTGATGTATACTGTGACTATAATCAGAAACTGATGCGACTGAAGTATGCGCCCTCTTTCTTTTGTGTAATAATGGTAAATACCACTTTATATCCGTTACTAATTTTCAATCCTGACAAATTAATTCATTATCAATGTATCAGTTATTATTGTAAAACTGGTAAAACATTGATGCTTTTGGATAGAAATCTTGTAAGTGAACATCAAAGCATGCAAACAAACGGCCGCTCGTATGTTGGTTTTGTGATCTCGCCCAGCTCCAGTGATTTATTTCTGATTAGTTTTCTGATCACTTCTCTTTGTTGGTGAAATGATGGGGTTGCGTGACGACGTTCCAGAGAGGCAGGTTTTAGTGAAGCGCTGCAGAGCTTCTGGAAGGACGCAGCGTGATCTTGTGCTCTGTGCTATTAGCTCTGACCCAGTACAAAAGACCCTAATCTGTACCAGGTTTGGCAGCTGTTGGGGAGAAAAGCCCCACCGCTTTAGTCAATAGCAGCCACTACAGAGCCCTCCCTCTACACGTTTCTGAGCTTTTACTGACGTCCAATGACCAATAACTCTTGTGTTGAATGTCATGACATTTAATGAATGCTAAGAGACTCTTTGGTTTGATGCGTTAAATGGAAACACCGTTTAAGATATCAAGGATCGCAGTTTTTATCATCCGTCTTGACATTATTCTGTTCCAGTTTTAAGTGATTTGGGTGAAATATAAGAGGAGCATTTGTGCCTGTTGGTGGCGCTATGACTGTGACAGTCACAATCCTGCTTGATGCATTCACCTCACATTTACCATCTGTGGACGTCTCAGAATTGTGTTTAAGCGCCTTTAATGGTTTTGTTTGTGTCTTCAGGGCAACGTTCCTCTCAAAGAGCTGAACACGAGACCCCTGGAGGTGTTCATGTGCAGCGTGCTGAAGAGACAGGGCTACGGCGAGGGCTTCCGCTGGCTCTCACAGTACATCGATTAGAGGAAGAGGAAGAGGAAGCACCACGCTCATCCCGCCTTCACAACCACGACTCCACTCACACAGACTGTTATCCTTCAGTTCATCGACTGGTTCTCACATTGTTTCTTACCAAAACCACAAACCTGCAGTGATTCTGCAAATGTGGTCAATTCCAAACAATGAATCTTCGCATTGGCTTCGGTTTTATTTACTCTGAAATTTGATGTTTTTTTGTCCGTTGATCTCTTTCTGTTCATCAGGGAATGATTCTGCGTGTGTACTCACAGAAATGTTCACAGCTTCCGAGTCATTTGCGTCACATACTTCAAACAGGAAGTGCTTTGACTTCTCTCCAGTGTTTCGTTTCCTGTCGTCAGGCTGTAAGATGAAGTCGAGACTCTGTTAATGCGCTGATGTGGCCGTGTTGAATTGAATATCTGTTTTTGTTCTCCCAAAAAATTAAAACAATTGTACTGCCACATTCAAAAATTAATTCCCAAAGCTACTGTAAACTGAAATAGACCAATAGTTGTTTTTCTTTTTTAATATGGTTTGGAATTGAAGACGGGCATGGCAATGAACCCTAACCCACAAGTGTCTGATAGTTTGGGCGAGAGCAGAGCATGCCTTCCACACAAACACACATTATTATATTTAACTACTAATGACTAGTAACATGATGATGAAAAGTGGACACACAGAAGATCGTGATGTTTGAAGCTGTTCGATAACTTGCCTTGAACAGAAGGGTGCAAGTGAGTGAAATAAGGACAGCTGTTAATCGATGACATGGACAAAATGTAATTTATATAAATGCCATATATGGATTTTTTTAAAGCTGTCCTTGAATAGCTCTTAATTTGATTAACATGAATGAAAGAAAAACATGCATGCCTTGTTCCATGATTATTATTAATTTTTATTAGTGTTTTTTTTTTTTAATAAACACAAATAGCAGTGTAAAACATCTAAAACGGGGTGAGATGGTCTATTTCTATGGAGTCGCAGTGGAATGGCACATAAGTGCGTTTTATTTTCTGTACTGTCCTTCCATGTATCATTGTCATTCCATGAGCTACGAGAGATGCCGTTGTTTCCATCAGAAATTGTAATAAATGTTTGCAATGAAAGCAAGCCATGTTGAGCTCACTTTTTTTTTTTGCTGAATTAAGTATTTAATATGTCTCATATACATGCAGAGAGAAGTGTGGTGTAGGTAGTCCTGCAGTAAAGCCAATGCAATCCAAACATCGGCGACAGATAAACCACCTCAGCCAGGGTTTGCAATGAACACCTGCCAAATGTGGCACGAATAACACCGGCAGCTCACAACCCACTGAAATCTCTGTGAAATCTGAGTGCCACTGAGGATGTGCTCATGCATGTGAATACTTTCACTTTTTTGCTTTTCCTTCTGGCTTTTCTTAATGTATGAAGTTAATAATTATGCAAACTGTATAATGTTGATGTTTCCAGGCAGATTTTGATTGATCAGGTGCACCGCTCCGGAGCTCATTCCTGAGTCCCTTTCACTCTCAGCTCTGCGTCATGCAGGACCTTTGGGTCTGTCAGTCCCCTGGTTCTGATCCGTCTCGCCATCCGGTGCTCATTACTTACAGCATCTCTAAAGAAGGTTTTGTGTGGTTGCCACCTTCAGCAGAGGAAACTAACACACGCTCTCCATTTCTTTATGCCACATCCCAATGGAAAATGTATATATAGCAATGCTCCTCAGGCTCTGCCGTGTTTCTCCGTCAAACAGGTCGAGGCAAGATCATAATCATTTGACTGTAAATTTGATCCAGAGGTAGTTGCATGAAAAATCAGTAATGTCTAGAAGTTGTTTTGTAGTTTAACCACAAGGTGGCAGTACATTGTTCAAGTGTAGAGGTGCTACTTAGTATTCTCTAAGAAGCCATAATAGTCCTGTAAAATGTTGCATGTGTTGAATAAAGAGTTAAGAGGATTTACTTGTGCAGTTACTGAGTACTAAAGGACACAACAGAAGTCTGCTTTAATGCAGAGGTATTGTTGTGTATGTAGTATTAAAGTACGATGCCTTTTTTCTCAGTTTGAGTAGCCTTATCTCGTCAGCTTGTCCTTTGGGTTTCTTTATGTCTATATAGACCCCAACAGCTGTGATTGGTCTTCTTTCTAACCATATCACCCATCTTAAAAGATGTCTGCAGTAGCTTTGCTTCCACTGGGGATGAATGTAATAGAGTACTAAAGAACAAATCATAATCAAGGAACGAAACTATCTGCTTTATAGCCGTTTTTATTTGTGCACTTTGCACAAGCACTTTAAATATACAACAACCTGGATGCCAACTACCATTTCTGATTTTAGTGTGATTCTCACAACAACCATTCATATCTTTTAAATATGTTAAGTATAATGGTAAAAAAAAAGAAGAAATTCATGTGCTAATACCAATTACAGATTAACATAAAAAACAAATATACTTTCAAAAAAAGAACCTCAATGTAAAAAAATGACCTGTAGACATATTATTCACATTTTATCAAGAGTTACCTAGAAAATTGTAAAGCCATTGACGAGGTGCCAGTCTTCTGAATGTCTTAATGTCTGGAGGAAAAATTTTATTCATTTTTTCCTGCTGTGTAGCCATCAAATTTTACTTCTTTCACATTTTTTCGTCATTCACAATGATTGTTCCTTTCACTTCCTCCAAGGTGCATTTATCTCTTCAAATAAAACTAATAAAAAACAAGAGGTAAAGTCTAGATAAAGATGTATGGTTTGTTAAAACACACACACACACACATAATTCAAGTGCCTTACCGTTTGCATTTCTGCATTTGTTCCAGAGTCTCGGGCAGCACTTTTCCAAACGTCTCCGGCAGAAACATATTTGTTACTGAGGAAGCAATGGTCAGGCTTCCCATCAGGATGTAGGGCAGATATTTGTTGAAAGTACCTTTACGAATAGAGAGAAGAACACAAGGTCGTTTCTCCAGTCCACTGTGATGCAGATGATTCGACACACAGGACAGGATTTACCCAGGAATATGATGTAAGGTGCGGTGATGCTGCCGATGCGAGCGGCTGAGGAGCACATGCCGATGCCCAGGTTTCTCAGCACGGTGGGATAGAGCTCCGCTGTGTAGATGTAGACCACGGTGAAGGACATGGTGAAGCCAAACTTACCGGCCATCTCTAATGCCAGTGCCAGAGTATGCAGACCTGTGAAAGAGCCTCTTCATTATAATGACCACAGCATTTAATAAAACAGCCTTACCTGATGATCAGCCGTGGATTTTATTCCTTCTTTTCTTTCTTTTAAATCTAATTCCTAGTCAAATTAGAATGATATTTTAGCTTTATCGGCAATAATGATGATTTATTAACAAAGTTTGAGAGGAGCATGTTCAGATAATCAACCAGTTCAGCACAGGTGGAGCTCCTCACTCCTAACTATTCTCACCCCAGCTCGGGGATATGGGGTTAGGGTTAGTGCTGATGGGTTAGTGCTGATGAATTAGTGCTGATGGGTTAGTGCTGATGAATTAGTGCTGATGGATTAGTGCTGATGGGTTAGTGCTGATGTGTTAGGGTTAGTGCTGATGGGTTAGTGCTGATTAATTAATGATGACCTCTGGCTGAACAATCCCTTTCATGTTGAGCAAATTCTCATTACTTACAGTGATGTTCATCTCAAAGGAAGGTTTTGTGTGGTTGCCCACTTCAGCAGAGGAAAATACACACTGCATCCCAGTGGAATATGTATATTTAGCACTGTTCCTCAGGCTCCACTGTGGGTTTCTTTGTGGTGTGTCTAAACAGACCCCTTATCCCGGGATTATTCAAAGATATGATAGCTTTGCATCCACTGGGAATGAATGTAATAGAGTGCAGCTCGGCCAATCGTAATCAAGGTACACAACTATTTGCTTTAAACAGCTTTTATAGGTGCACAACTACCATTTCTGATTTTGATGCGATTCTCACACATCAACCATTCATATCTTTTAAAGGGATAGTTCACCTTCAGTTGCTGGTCCCTATTGACTTGCATAGTGTGTTTTTCCTCCATTCTATGAAAGTCAGTGGTTACCAGCAACTGAAGGTGAACTATCCCTTTAAAAGACATGTGAAGTATAATGGTAAATAAACAAAGATATGCATGTGCCAATGCCAATTACAGAAAGACAAATTCACTGTTAATATAATACTTTCAAAAAAGAATCTGTGATTAAAAATAACATTTTATTCACATTCTAATAATAGTTGCCTATAAAAGCGATAAGTGATTGCCCGTCCAGATGTAGGATCTTCTGGATGTCTTCATGTCCGCAGGAGAAGTTTTATTCATTTATTTGCTGCTGTGTAGCTGTGCTCAAATGTTTTCTTCTGTCATCATGACTGTTCCTTTCCCTTCCTCCGAGGCGTGTTTATCTCTTCTGATAAAACTAGAGGTAGTATTTATTGAAAAGTCAATAGATAAAGGTTTTTCTGTATATATGATTTGTTAGAAACAACAACGACACACAATGCAAGAGACATACCTTTTGCATTTCTGCATTTGTTCCAGAGTCTCGGGCAGCACTTTTCCAAACGTCAAACATATTAACATATTTGTTACTGAGGAAGCAATGGTCAGGCTTCCCATCAGGATGTAGGGCAGATATTTGTTGAAAGCGAATAGAGAAATAGAGAGAAGAACACAAGGTCGTTTCTCCAGTCCACTGTGATGCAGATGATTCGACACACAGGACAGGATTTACCCAGGAATATGATGTAAGGTGCGGTGATGCTGCCGATGCGAGCGGCTGAGGAGCACATGCCGATGCCCAGGTTTCTCAGCACGGTGGGATAGAGCTCCGCTGTGTAGATGTAGACCACGGTGAAGGACATGGTGAAGCCAAACTTACCGGCCATCTCTAATGCCAGTGCCAGAGTATGCAGACCTGTGAAAGAGCCTCTTCATTATAATGACCACAGCATTTAATAAAACAGCCTTACCTGATGATCAGCCGTGGATTTTATTCCTTCTTTTCTTTCTTTTAAATCTAATTCCTAGTCAAATTAGAATGATATTTTAGCTTTATCGGCAATAATGATGATTTATTAACAAAGTTTGAGAGGAGCATGTTCAGATAATCAACCAGTTCAGCACAGGTGGAGCTCCTCACTCCTAACTATTCTCACCCCAGCTCGGGGATATGGGGTTAGGGTTAGTGCTGATGGGTTAGTGCTGATGAATTAGTGCTGATGGGTTAGTGCTGATGAATTAGTGCTGATGGATTAGTGCTGATGGGTTAGTGCTGATGTGTTAGGGTTAGTGCTGATGGGTTAGTGCTGATTAATTAGTGCTGATGGGTTAGGGTTAGTGCTGATGAATTGGTGCTGATGGGTTAGGGTTAGTGCTGATGTGTTAGGGTTAGTGCTGATGGGTTAGTGCTGATGAAATAGTGCTGATGGGTTAGGGTTAGTGCTGATGGGTTAGTGCTGATGGATTAGTGCTGATGGGTTAATGCTGATGGGTTAGTGCTGATGGGTATCCGGCGGGCTTATGGGGCCCTCGCAAATCCCGCAGAAAGTCGTTTCCATCTTCAGGAAAATTCCACTTTACAAGGTCAACGAAGTGAAGGAGAAGAATCTGATGTAATTGCCCGTCAAGCTTGTCAGTATTTGCATAGGTTAGAG